CCATTCATACATTTATTCATTCATTAATTTATTCATTCATTCATTCATTAGCATAATTGAATGGCCAATGGTCCATGGGGTTTTAACCGGTAAGTGACTTATGGATTGATAACTGCTTGTTTAATTTTCGGATAAAAACCAGGTTTCAGAATGATATCAATCATTAAATTATCTTAGTTTGATACACAAATAATGTGTTCTTAAATAATGGCAACAGTAAAACAAATCAATTACAATTATCAATTTAGAGTCTGAAAAGGCAAGTTGTTGTTGAATGTTATAAAATTGAATTGCTCAAACATTTATTATAACAGTATTGTAAATGTAAAACAGTTGATGTTATATAAGCCTTGAAAACAACTTAAGATTTATTCTTTAAAAGCATTCAAAAAGTTTTGATTTTATTTAGGACTGAGACGAAGAAAAAATATTGTTAAAATAACAAGTCAAGGTTATGATTAGACATTACAACTTATTTTATACTGAACGTCCTACATAATCCCCCGTTTTAACTTTTTATAAATGTCGTACACAATCGCAGTATGTTTCTCTTGTCACATTGATATTGATTGAATACCTGATAAACCTTTGAGTGCAAATTGATTCATTCATAACCATTCTTAACTTGACACAACTTTAATTTCAATGTAAGTGAGACCTTACTAACCTTACATTTAAAAAAGTAAAATATAAAGTATATCTGTATATATAAATTACCGTTGATATGTTCCAGTTCGATTATATGTTTTACAATTTGATAATCGTTGGGGAAATATGACACTGTGAATGTACTGAACAACCCTGCTGTTATTCCTTTAACAATACCTAGAGCAAATATCTACTATCGATCAATCCTAGCGTCTAAGAGCTGATTGGCTACATTAAAATGGAATTGATTACTGATATATGTACGTATACCTTTTACATTTAAACAGTAAATGAGGCTGAACAATGTTATCAAAATTCGTATATGGTTCATATCTTTTGAAAGGAATATTCGCGCCCTATGTAAAATCTTACATTTGAAAGAGCAAGTAAAACACTTCTAGTCGATAACTATTAGAATCTTTCCATGACTTTTAAACCCCGTGATTCTTCGATCCCTTCCTAAATGACTTTTCGAAAGCAATTGGTAAAAATTTGCTGCTACTATAATGTGCATTGAATGTTAAGACTTTATATGTCATTTACAAAATGCAATTTTATGTGAGGTTAATGTGGTAAGGTGTAGCACAAAATCTGCAGTATTGAGGAGTAATGATTTCCTTTGCATATGATTTACACAAAAATCATGTTGTTGTTGTTGTTGTTTTTTTTTTTCTTTTTTTTTTAAATAAATGTTACGACGTGTTTTCGACAAAGAAGTATTCCGAGAATAGTACTTTGTTGTGTGAATCTTAATGTTTGTTAGTCAGTATTAATGAAACAAAATCTGTCTGGCGTATCTCAACCGTGCGACAGATCTTATGGAATCATCGCTGATTAATTAAACACTTACCTGATAAATAGCTGAATTCACTTTTTTAATTTATACACAATTCTCTGATACTGATTAAACGGGATAAAATTCAATGACAGGCCATTCACAATACACTAGTCAAATGTGCCAAAGAATTTTTTTAAATGGACAAGGTATTATTTCATCCGTGAAAACCTTTTCAAAAATCTTTTTATATTTAAATGTAATGATTTATACAGAACAGAATAGAACAGAACAGAAACTTTATTTCTTAGTTTAAGCACAAAAAGCTCATCACCATATTAAATATACAAATACAACGTATAATACATAAATGACACATGACATGAATATATAATATTACAAAATAATGGTTTATATGATGTGAGAATGTTTAATGAGAAACCAATTTACATAAAAAGCATATGAATACATGAATATAATACACAATAATTGGCCTATCTTTACCAAACATTATCAATTAGAGCTACAATACATTTTCTTTTATGTTATGCCTATCAATAGAATACACAAAAAAGCAAACTTGCAGTTTTAATTGTGACAAATGAAGGGGAATAACTAAGTAACTTTACATAACCAGTATTTTAAAATTTACTTCCCCTTAATAATTCATGATCAATATTAATAGAATTCATTTTTATATGAAAAATGAATACGTTTACTGATTTTGTACGTTGTTTACGTTTTTTATATAAAGAAAAGAAAACCCCACACAAAACAGACAAATACAATTATTAATAAATAAATAAAAAATATATGTATATATGTACAATTTCATATTCACATATAACTTTACAAATCTACATGATGAATATACAATGCGCATTTAACAGTTACAATGATACTTTTTTCATGTTTTTTAAACAACAGAAAAAACAGAGAAATAGAGTAAAGCTTACATGTCAGTATATTATAACAAACTATCCCTCAGTTTAAATACTTTATCACAGAATATAGCTAAATTTTTCAGTTCTTTCTTGCGACCAGTTTGCATTAATGAAATGAATTTAAACATACTTGTGTTGTAAATAATAGTATCTTGGAATGTATTGCTTTCTTAACTCAGAATATATCGGACATTTAAGGATAAAGTGAAATTCATCTTCTATATCATTCATATAACATAAAGTGCACTTTCGTTCATTCCTTGGTACAATATTATGTCTTCCTAACACGATATTAAGTTTGTGTGAGGAGAGTCTAATTTTTGCTAATACATTTCTATATTTTACATTTTCAATATATTTTATATATAACGATTGTTCAAATGTGATCTTATTTTCCCTATATACATCTAACAATGATGAAGATTGAATACCATTATTCCAACAACTTATATAAATATCCCGTAATCTATTCCTAAAAATAGGTACAAATAGTTTTATATTAACAGAATCGGGATATAACCAGACTTCATTAAATCCTGCTGACTGAAGAATGTTTTTAACTTTTGAAGCCCAGTTTGTTGACAAATTAACCACATCAACATCATATATCTGTCTACACAATATTGTTCTCAATATACAATTATCTTTTTTACCTGTATTTAACTTAAGAAAATATTTTATCATACGAATATGCCTTTCAATGTAAAGAGGAAATCTCCCCAATTATGCATATAATGCCAAAGTATTTGTTGACTGTTTAACATTTAAAATAAACCTACAAAATGTTTATGTACTCGTTCCAAAACTTCTGCATTCATAAACCCCCATACTTCGCAGCCATAATTTAAAATTGATAAAACATAGGCGTCAAAGAGATTAAACATAATGTTAACTGTAACATAATATGTAAATGTTATACATTTCTCAATAATTATGCTTTATTTAAAGCGTTAAAACTCTATCTCATTTTAACGAAAATCCATCTCATAAATTACATTTAATTTACATTTAATTTAGTAAAAGCATTTAAACAATCCAAAAAAATATATTTTCAATAAGAACGACATTGTTAACAAAATTGCAGGGTGAAAAAGATCAATATTTTAAAGTCATTTTTAGGGATAAAACCTATCACTAAATGTTTTTTGTCCTAAAAAGATATTATCTACTTGTGATAACTAACAGGATTTGAGATTGGCAAAATATATATTACAATTTGCTACATTTATAGAGCATTTTCGTCTAGTTATTATACCATTTCTGCCTAATATCATATAAATTCACATAAATAATATTTATTTCAAACCTACTGAAATATTAACAATAAGGATAGGTGATCGCATAGTTTAAACCATTACTGGATCCGATTTCATCAATTTTATCTTTAAATGTGCGTTTATTTTGCTAGTCCAAATTTCCATATCATAACACCATGGTTGTACTTCATTAAGCCTCATTTTCATTTTACGAGTCTAAACAAAATTTCAGATCTAACAACTTTTGTTCTCCATTTAAATTAAAGGACTCAATATAAAATCCTTACTTAATAATTGCCACAGATTTGGTGATGCGAAATAATGATGGCATTATGCATAGTTAAATAAAATACAAACTCTTTTGGACCTGTGCTCGGTTGCGGAAACAAATACCGGTAACAAAAATAAAACAAAATAAAAAAAACTTAATATAAGATTCGCTTTTGCCCAGACAGTTGTAGAGAAAGAAGTGTAAATAATCGATATGTCTGGTGATTTTATAAATATTGGCATAATATGTATATCGATAGAAATTTGATAACTATCAGCATCATCCTTATCTACAAGTTTGATTAACTATAACCATTCGTAATTCAGAAATCACTTTTATTCAAGAAAACGTTTACATTTTACATAGGATATGTGTCTATTTAATTCACCGTCACGGTGATATGTTCAATTATGAATAGAATTCTTTTAAATGAGCCATGTCTTAGAAACGTCTATGAAAATTTAATTTTGATTAGGTAAATATGTTTTTATCATCGATGTTTTTCATGCATCCAATTGTTTGTTTTACATTGTTACACAGATGCTGTGGTACTTTAAAATAAGAAGCTGTTGTATGTGTTGAACATATCCAATTAATAGTGATTGTATTCTGAGTAACATTTAATACAATAATAATGATTGAACATAAACAAGTTAAAAATAAAGAAAAACAAAATGGTAACGAAATAGAGAAAAACAGAAAGCAAAACAAAGCAAACTTGAAAATGTTGCATGCTTGTAGTACATAGACGGTAGTCGACATTACAAGTTATCATGTACGCCCCCTAGACTCGGCATCAGCAGAGTTCAACATTAAAATTGAATTGATTAAATTTTGATTTTATGTGTTCATATGGCGGTTATCATGGAACCTTCATTGTGTCATGCTATTGCCATTTCATGATGAGCGACATATGCTACCAAGGTACACAAGTGTGTTTGCCCTAAACGAGAAAACGATCCGGGAAACTAAATAAAATGAAGGGGATCAGTTTGCATATCAGATATACTGTCAAGAGAAAAAAAGAAAAATATTTAAATTTAAAACAATAATGCGATGGAATTTTTCCTAACTAACAAATTAAAGTACACTTTCGTTTGTTTGTCTTTTTATTGTTTGTTTGTTCTTTTAATTTTCTTTTTCTTACAAAATGGTATGAATGCTTAGATAATTATTACTGTGACCACTGACAATGTTATACGGATGTGATGTTGCCACGTATACGCTATCCTGCTCATTTAAGTAAAAAGGTGCTCCTATATTACTTGACCATTCTGCATGTCCGAAGGATAATTCACACATAAACTTGACGTGTTCAAGAAGAACTCGTTCAGCCCCATCTTGATGGCTTATTACGTTAACAACGTGACTCATTGTATCCTCGAAACCTGTGACGGTATCAGTCGATGTCATGTTGTTTGCTCTTACTGTCAGCAAAGACGACACAAAGTAATAGCCAGATTGCTTGATGTAGACAGCCCCTTCTTCCTGCATGTATTTCATATGATGTGTAATCATATATGTAACGGGGGTCCAGTATACTTTAGTACGTTTCCCAGGTACTGAAAATAATATTATGAACATAATTGTTGATACTGACATGTAAGTGTATGCTCCAGATACTGGTTTTGAGGCAAACACATGTGTTTTGTTTTTAGAAAGGAAATCAGATTATTATTTTACATTTGTAACTTTGGGAGTGTTTCCTTTGATCATTGGTTCCAGCCCTTTTATGTATTGAAAATTGAGTACCACACAATCCGATGCTAGGGACGCGAGGGATGCTGCAATTTGTCATTATCCCTCATAAACAGTCTCAGTCAAATCGAGTCTGCAATTGTCATGTACAGACTCAAATCGATTTGCATGTAATTTTGTTGTAATCAATGTTTCCGAGGGATCATCCTTCTTCCAGACGTTTTGGTTAATACAAAGGTATTGGTAATTCTTATACTCATATTTTCAGGTATAATGATTATTGAAGCTAGTTGCCATCAGGCCTAAACAATACAATTAGAAATTGGTTAATAAATCATATAACATTAAAACTTGATATTTTTGAGACTATTCTTAAAAAAAACACCCTGAAATTGCCGGATCTTACTGTTTTGTATCAGAATATGTCCTTTCAGGAGTATCTTCCATTTAATTATAACACGGTGTACAAAGAAAAATGTTATTGAATACTATGGATGTTCATAACCGTTCGAACCTCTTCTCTTTTGCAACTTCTTGTAATATAAAGAATTGTTAAATTCCATTACATTACCATTTACAATATCGATATGAAAAAAGGATAATGAGTATTAAGTAAAGCACATGCATAAAGCGGTTTAATTATTTTCAAATATTTTAAACATACTAGTACCTGGTTTTGCATGTGATAGTACGTTATTAAGGTGTAACGTAGATTCAGCTTTCTTTGAAGCTGTACAGTTGAATGCTTTGATACCTAAATCAAGAATCTCTGGCTCTGAAATATAAATGTTTTTCTGATATATATTAATCTACCTTTCAATATATTGATTCATAAAATACAGAAAAACGGACTCTAAAGAACGCACAAAAATGACAAAATTAAAAATGTTGCAGCCCCGGTTTGATTTGGCTGTTCATGGACGCTACTTTTGAAAGTTAGAAATTATGAAGTTTTTAGTTTGTAAATATCCACAGATGTATTCATACGGTGGTCATCATAAAACTTTCATTGTTATATGTTCGTGTCATTCAATGAAAATGTGTGTATGGTCCAAAGGTTAAAGAAAGCATGTGCCCTTAACGATGACACAATGGGAAAAACTAAACAAAAAGGAATTTCTAAAGAGAATCAGATGCAATAAAGCCTGCATTTCACAGACAAGATGGCAGACACCAAATTCTAAGGGTGATTATGTACTATTCAAGTATGAATACTGGAACAACACAAATTAGAATAGAAGAAATCAAATATACTGGTCCACAAACATGTACACATGTATTTATTTTCACTAATAAAAACTGCTTAAATGTTTATTATCCTGACACATCCACAGGACCAAGTTATTTATCTATGTTGAATACATTATATATCAGGATTTTGCATTAAAAGCTCAGATCCATACCTGAAACGTTGAAAAATAATACCATTGTTTGCTTAATGTAAAGCTTGCCTTATGTGGGTGACGTTGGTAACGGGTGCAAAATCGTATTGATTAATATTATGATATACGTTGATGAAAGGAGAATGTTAATTATTATAGCTTTTAATCAACAGGCGAGCTTTGCGGAGTTTTGATGGTGTTAATAGATGATACCTGGACAAGCGTCACTGTCGTAGCTGTCATGTATATTCTAAAATAGTGAATATAAAAAAAGCTCATAGAAACAAGGTCCTTTTAAATATTTATAGCAATACTTTTGACTTATATGATCATAAACATTCTGACTGAACTTTCTGTTTAAAGCATTTATATCAAATTTATATGTACAATGATTTACCTTTAGGTATGGAGTTGTATTATATTGTATTTCATAAATTATAGACGATATATAATTGACATATCATAAATAACATTTACTTTTGCTACATACCCTACAGTCACATCAACAGAAAAAGAAGAACCAACACGGAAAATTTGCTTTTAAATTATTGTTTAAATCGAACTCATATGATGAGAGAGATAAAAGAATAATCTGAACACCATTACCTGATTAACAACTGTTGTCAACATGGTACTCAGTTTGCCACATGCTTTGTTTCGATTTGTATTTTTGTCAGTCTTCACTATAAGCTGTCCAAGAAGGTCTGGGTTTCCTTGACTTGTGACGTCTAAGGCAGAGCACCATTCTGATTCGCCTCGGTCGAGTCTTAATAGGTGCCAGTGCACGACCAAAGGAAGTAAGACACTCATGTTGACGATTGCAAAGGCAACCAATGTCGTTAGCGTACATTTTAAGGCCTGTAAATGTAAGTGGAATTAGTAAAATAAAAACAACTTACTTGATACATTTTCGTTTTCCTATTTACATTGTAAAAAAAACTACCGTACCTGATCCAAGGTGCTAGATTTTATAAGCAATATATCGATATTAAAATGATGCAACATAAATTTTATTCTATAATGAGCAACAATTATGTTATTAATTTATTATTAATCAAATTAATTATTTACAAATATTGTTGTATTCTCATATTAATACAGTTTTAGCTATGATTAAGGAGTAAGAGGAAATGGTAGATACTATTGATAAAACAATGATATAAATCAATTAAAAAGTATTACTTCAATGCCACATTACTGTGATTTTTATTTCATTTTTAACGAACATTTCATTTTAGTTCTTCAAATAGTGTTATTTATGGTGAAAAAACATCTCTAAGTGCTTAATGGGGAATGGATATGGTCTATACAAATACAAAGCAATTAATTGAAGGGAAAATTGAACGTTCTTAGCTGATTGTCACCCTCTCCATTTGTATTTGTATATTAACTTTTCTGTAAACTCCTGTCAAATGTAAACAGTCAAAAACCTTTTAGGAAAATAAATTACGATTTCTCTTATATTCTTTTGCACAAACCACGCCATTGGTCATATCAAGTACCGTTGCTCTCTTCAGAATCCTTCTACAGAAGCAAAGAGTCTTCGACAAAAACGCATTGTGTCCTAATAGATATAACAGCAATTTTTTGGTCAATGTATTTTAATGTTGGATATAAAATGACACGATTAAGAATAAGATTGGGTTGCAGCAATAACCGTCATTTGCTTTTAACAGTTCTCTGTATTATCATTATCATCATCATAGACAGGTTTTACTTTTTACACTTTAATATGGTTCTTTTGTTACTCAAAAACCTGTAATGATTGTTTTAATTTAACTTAGTTACCATAGAAACCACCTTAATTTAATTATGTGTTACCATAGTATCCACGATCCAATTCATAAGAACATTTTGTTTTGATAAACGGCCAATATATTTCAATGTTGTATAAAAATGTTAACTCTTATATTTGCAACGATTTTCTATGATTCGAAAAATTCAGTTATCATTAGACACAGGTCTATTTGTCTTTACAAGGTAGGTTCATTCAGACGACTGGATTTATGGATTTAAGATGATAAATCATTTTGAGTATGTATTGGTGAATCAAAATTTAATAAGATTATTCTTGTTTAATGTAGTCTATCATTTATTTATTCATTCATTCATTTCTCATATTCATTTTGAAATATAATCATTAAAAAACTATGACTATTCAGATAAAAGTAAAAGATGCAGTCAGTGGTATATTTATTATTTATTATTCGAAATGTATAACCAATTTAAAACTAGAGCTATCATTGATGGTGATAAATACCCCTACCAGCAATTTTGTCTTTTCAAAAACAAAGTGGTCTGAAGAAAAATTTGAACTCAACCTGTAGTAAATGAATTATCAACAGTGTACAAAGAATTATTTTAATTAATTGCTGTACCAACCTGGGTCTTCATATCAGCTTGCTTTACACCAACTTTGATTACAATATCTCATTCCTTATTCTAGTTATTGACCGGAAACAATTTTTCTATTTTATGTCTTGGATATTGTCCAACAACATTGACCTAGCACTCTTGCATTTGATTTTGTAGTCGGTATATTCCGTAAACGTTACGATGTAAATTAATGATTCCTCATAGCGCGGTTTGTATGGGGATTTCATTTGACAAATGTAGTCGTAAACTGGTATGTTCAAATCCTGTTTTAGCGATTTTTTTACTTTTAAGTTTAAAATTGCCATTCTCTTAAAATTATTGCATACATTTTTGTTGTGTGTTATATATTTTTAGTTTTGCCTTTATAGCGTATATGCGCTAAAGCATATAAGATTGCATATTGTCACCAAAAGATACCGTCATGAAATAAAAAATTGTATTTGTGTATAAAAACATCACTTAAAAGGTATGCTAAAACCAGGTGTCGTACGAGGGTTGTTAAAAAAGTAATAGGACTGCAGTTCTACTGTTGGCATTTTTTAATTTACGTGCACAATTTTACAAGATAATAATATCGGAACATATCTTCTACATACAGTGAAAAAAATCAATAAAATATGTTTAAAAATAACGAGTCTGTTTAAATTTCAAATGACAAGGGGTACGCGACCCGGCGCACGTTAACTGCACATTAAATGACGTTTATGACGTCGTAAAATAAAAACAAAATGTAACAAGCGTCATCCTTTCTGAATGAATTCTCCATAGTGTTCTTAGTGTCTAAATCATGTAACTTTGACAAGACCTCATATGTGGAGATAAGGTGAGAAAGAAAACGACCACACTCTCGTTCCACTCTTCGAGAAAAAAAAAGAAGCCGGATAGCCGGCCACTCTACGCTATTTCTCTTATTCTTGTATTCTTAAAGTAATCAATATAGATTAAACAGGCATGAACTTTTCATGTTAATGACAAAGCGATTAATAGAATTAATTTACACATATTCTTCACGTTCTTAAAACAATATGATTATGTATGTAAAACAACAATATTTATCCTACAAGAAACAGATTATCATTTTAAAAAGAAAATCGGGCAAAAATATTTATTATTACCGTTTATCATTATACATTAATTTATTGATATAACGTATACCTAGTTAAATAAAATAGAATTTTGTTTGAATCAAGTCATTTGGGCAGAACTGAATCAATAGACCTGATGCAGAAATCAAACATGCGGACAGTTCGTGGACTGTTTACCGTCGATCATTTTGTAGCGCTTTTTCATTTGACGTCACTAACGTCTCGTCAATTTCCCTCTATCATTCTCATCCTTTCCTGTTTTTGATCTCGTATGTGCAGTTTTTGAATTGCTTGCGCAAGCTGAGAACGAGTATCCTGATAGCCGATTAATTGTACTGTGTTAATTTTATGTTTCTGTATGTATCTGAAGGAGTATCGCCAATTTGTTGGCAAAGATTAACGATCGCACACATTTTCAGTTTTTTAACGAACGCTAAATTTCTACATTTAACGTTATGACCACTGCTGTTCAAAACTTGATGATTTCGCCAATTTATGTCTGAATGACGTCAAATTTAGGCATAATGTCACTTAAATATCAAAAAGTGTGTTGGTCGAATAAATGGGGAAAAAAAAGAAAATAAACTATGAATATAATAGGGGTACAACTAAGCTTCAATAACGTTTTTATGTGCTGCGCCGGGTGCGTGTTACCATAGTTATTCAATAACACAGGGAAAACGCGTTAAGCACAATAATTCAATAAGTTTATGCTTAAATTGAAGAAAACATTTTTCGATCGCTGTACATATAAAAATATTCTTAATTGAAATGATTATGAAGATGCAAGACTCTTAGTCCTATTACTTTTTGAACAACCCTCGTATAACGATTTCAAATTAATTCTTGCAAGTGAATAAAAATAAAAGTGGTGTTGGTAAAGAATCGAACCAGATACCTTCAGTTCGGTAGTCTGACATCTTTACTAATACACAACACCTCACTGGCGAGTGAATTTAGCAAGTATATTGATATGTTCGAAAGATGCTGATCAGTGTTTATTCAAATGACCTTTCCGAAAGTTAATGCTGTAAAAATGAAACACAAATTTAGAGACGATATTTTTGTTGATTGGTACTTTGAATAAATTGAAGTTAGTTTTCTTCTTTTTATTACTTTTGAAATTTCAGTTATTTATCAATTTTAGCTTCGATTTTCTCTGAACAGCCCTTACAATGTCAGAATTGTCAACAATAATAAAATTGAGGTACCGCATGGGGAAATTCTTTAAAAAGTAGTCTCATCATTGAAAAGTGTGAAATTATATTTTGATAATGATTAACAATAATTTTCACAAATAAATCAGTAATCCACTGAAAAGCATAAAATAAAAACATTTGTTACATCATTTGATTACAATAACATAATTTCACAGTGTGTTCTGTCATCTGTCCTAGAACATAAGGGATGTCCAGAAAGTTCATTTTTATACTACTTGAGATTTTTCTCTAAAGCAAATCATACATACATGTATGACAATTTTTGCACGTAAAACGTACATATCTGACAAACACAAAAAACACAAATGAGCTGCAATCACCGTTTACAATAAAATAGTCTTACATAAATGTACATCATACATGCATCGTCATGGAGCACTTTGACAGCATCAAAAGCGTCAAAGGATTGTCAGGTTCTCACTACCTTGCGAAATAGCGCACATGAGATGTTACACATTTCTGATATCTAGTGACGTTTTTGTTACAATCTCAAACAAAAATCTGACATTAAGAAAGGAACACCAATGCGTATTTTAGCTTGATCAGCCAAATGTATTTCGTTCTATTCCTTCTTCAATCTCGAGTGAAAAGTCTATATATTAAATGAATAAACTTCTTTGCAGAGTTTGCTCGTTTAGATTCCATCGATGCGACGAAACGACCATCGTGTCGTTTGTATGTAAGACGATGCGCGATGGCGCGTCATTTCGCGATCCCATATATCCAGTTACACCAGCCTGGTACGTTTCTTGCGCACACTTTATCCTTGCTTTGTCCATTGTCATTATTGCCAATTGTAAAAACACCGACCATTCCCGTTAACTTTGGATTGGAGGCCTCGTAATTATAAGACGATAATACATACCAGCGCAGATAGTAATAAAATTATGCCAATCAGTATTTAGAGATATCACTTTGTGATAACTTATTCCATTAGATCTACCTATTCAATTGACTATTGGAAAAGAAATTATGAGTGACTAAATTGTGACATTTTACGACTGACATTATAACATAAACAAAACGGCGGAATTACTTGATTGATTTAGGTCAAATTTTCGCCTTATTAGAGGACTAGAGTGAAGCATAATATTAAGAGGATATTTGTTCGTTTGAGTGAAATATGGAATATATTTTCACGGAATATGAGAAAATGCCACATATTTTCACCAGCCGGGAAAAAATATGAAATATATTTGACTTATATAGCACCATATTTCATGGGTAAAATTAAATAAAG